AATCTGAACTAGTCTAAATGTATTTCTTGAATAGAAATAGAAATAGTCCACTTAATTATTGATATAAAAATACAAACACTCCATAATTCCACTTGTTATTACGAATTTTAGTAGTGAGTGTGTAACTGTGTACAGTGGCATAGAGACTTGAGGGTTCACCTAAATGTAGGGTTAGAAGACATTAGTTACTTTATTTAGTAACGGGGTGGCAACTGGCAAATGTCACGTCGATGTGCTTTTGTCTGGTTTCGGCCGTCCACCTGACCCAGGTAATGCCTTTGCGAACCTTTTAAACCTCTCACTTTAATGCGATCGGTCTAGGGACGGGGAAACAAATCAACTCAAGCTTCTTTCTTTGATTTTGGGCTCAAGAGATATCCCAATTATCCAAGCCCAACCAATATGTTTAAAGCACATTAAAATTCTGTAGTAACATGTTATCATGTCCCGGTATCACTTTCGTTACATCTGTTGTTACTGTTTCTAACATCTAAGTGGATAACATTTTTAACATATATTCAACAATGATATACATAACTATGCTATATATATATATATATATATATATATTATATGTAAATTAAAAATTACACGATTCAGTGTTTTAATAATATTATATCTTATAATAGTTTTTATGAATCATTAGATATGTGTTTAAAGAACAGTTAAAATAATACCAAAATTGAACGGTAGACGGCAACAACATTGTTTTTTTTTTTTTCATGTTGTTTGTGATCTTTCAAATAGATAATAATATAGAAAGCACTGCGGGCACTGAGGCTCAGCACGTTGAGAACTGAAGGTCACGGGATGTTAATAGGTGAGGTATAGTATTGATCGTTTTGGATTTGTTATCACAGTGCAATTGCAATGTGCTTTATTTTCCGCTTTTCAGTGCAAAGCTTCGCATTTTACAACTTTTTTAGGTCCTACGGAAAATGCTTTTTAAATTCAATGGCCACTTAAAACTCGAGTATTATACCTGATGCTTTGCCATATGACATGACATCCATTATCCCACACAATGCGCTGCCTAGCCAATGCTACAAATGCAGCCAAAATTTTCATAGCCATACCTTTCTACGGTAAGAAAATTCCACTTCGAGCATATATAGATTTGTCTCATTGCCATACCAAAAGAATAGATTCGTGATAATGACATAATTTCCTTATTAATTAGATGTAGGTATGTACAACAAAAAAAGGTTACACATTCATCACTTCAATAAACAATTAGATAGTAAGCGCCATACCCAAGGGCTTGTTTAATTTACGTCTTCCTGAACACAAATCGCATTTGAGGGGATGAAAGGTAACTTACAGTGAAAATGTTTCGTAAGTTCATTTATATTTTGTTGACTCGCATGAGAAGAGTGTTGGAGAACAACATGCAATCACAAATCCTTCATAAACAGTACTCTAGAGTAGAACTGGCAGATAATAGAACTTAAGATGTTGATCCAAACAGAAGAAGAGAAATCGTGAAAGGGAAAGAAAGGAATTTACAGCGTTGTACTCAAGTAAAATAAAAGAGAATGTGAGAGGAGATAACGTCTGCGTGTGTGTGTGTGTGTGAGTGTGAGTTCTTCTTCTCATCAATTTGTGTAACTTTCTATCATCTTGAAATACGTCTAGAAAAAGATAATTAACTCCATTTGCATGTATTCAATATATTATCGCTTAACGGTTCAACCTGCTTGTAATTGTAAATTGAGCCAATGATTAAAAATAAATTATTACTTGGTTGAATCGATCGATTAGAATCATAATTTATGAATTAATATTTCTGAAATTTTACGAGTTATTTTATATATATGTCAAACAATATGAAACGCGTACTCTTCTTTTTGCTTTGTGATTGAGAGCATGATTTGACCTAGACAGATGGTAATTGCCAAAGCAATTCTAATCAAGAAAGTTACTATCATGCAGACAAGCATTGCCAAAAGTAAGGAGTACACCACAAAAAGTAGTGAAGTATCAGCACGACAAATTACTAAATGACATATTTACAACTGTTTTAAATTATGTAAGGGAGCTTAACTGTCTATTCATTTTTTTTTCTATTTATAATAATTTATACTTTTCTTTCTTCCTTTGAATTCTCTAATATTCTACTCATTTTATACCTATCACCTAGGTCCAAAACGATAATTTCTCCTGTCTATTTCATTGGACATTCCACAAAGTGAATTCAATAAAGAGTGCTTTACTAAATAACATTTGATTGAATAGGAACCCATGTATAAAAATCACTTTTGATGTTTTCAATTAAATTAAGAAAATTAATATTCTTGGCTTTGATTTCAGTTAATTGGATCTGAGGCCATGATTGTAATCCACGGTCCACCATTGAATGTAAAGCAAAGCAGCGCAGCGGATTCAACATGTGTAAGGAAGGGATCAAATATGATTCTATATGTCTAACACAATAAGAAGCTCTGCAATTATAATTTCTCTTCGTCCTGTGTTTCTACACGTCACTTAGCAATGGAACAATTAATGTAGCCTCAATTTCTAGAACATCGGCAATGGAAACCTATGCTTTTACTCATCATCCAGCAACACAAATGGCATATGGTATTTTTCATCATTAAAATTGGTCATACATGTCACCTTTTTTTTTTCTCCCTATAAGCGAAGCAAACTTATTGTTATCAACAAAGAGTACAAGTAATACTCAAATAATTACAACACATCAGAATTGAAGTCACAAAATAATAACCACCAACAGAATGCCAACCTACATCATAGGTATGCGAGGTCCCCCATTACACTATGAAAATTACGTAACCAATGTAGATGAGAAACAAAAATAATAGGCCCAATATACTGCACTAGTCCGCAACCATGCACCATTATCCGTGTGATTATAGGTGGGTAGATCACTATAACAATAGCAGCAACGATAGTGCAAGAAAATATAGCTAATAAGGCCACCGAATATAATCATAGTAAGATACGACAGGACGATGAACTTGTGTAGCAGCAAGATCAAGTGGGTACCTTTGCATTTATCGAAGACCAAGAAGTACTGAGCTTAATCTTCTGAACAAAATCTGCTATTTCACCAAAATATGCTCTCATTCCTTGCGCACCAAATAGCCCATAGTGTAGTATACTAAACAACTAGTCAAACTGCTGTGATTTTCTTTTTGCGATTCTGAAGATCAAAGAATTGTAGTATTCCTCTTTTAACCAGCTCTGATTTGATAAGATTCAAGTATGTGCAACCTTTCAAGCTAAAGTCAGAGCACTCTTTTCACATGTGCTTCCATTTGGAGTTGATGGTTTTTGTTTCTGCAAGCTTGTTTTTACACTGATTGTAAACATTGGAGACTTATTTCCACCTATTTAAATTTACACGACCTGAACAGTAAGAGGACAAATTAAGTATATATATTTTTTTGTTTTTAAATGAAAGTTCAATTTTAACATAACAAAAAAAACATTTACATCGTTCATAAGCTTAAATATATATTCTTCTGTGAGAAAGACTTTTTACGTAAAATTAGCTTTAAGACTTTATTAATTTACTTGAGAAGAAAATTTGAAAGAATTGTGTCTCACTTGCATGAAGCTGTAAATTGAAGAATGAGAAACGTTGATATTATACTATTTTATATATAATTTATGTGAATTATTTATTTTTAAAATGTTAAAATACTTATATTATACATTTAATATTATTCAAATTTTACTTTATTTTTATGAAAAATCATTTCATTCCCATACGTGTATTGAAAATGTTATGCGTAATAGAGTGTATTGCTAATATAAAATAGGTAGTCAACTTGACGAACTTTGAAGTCAATTAGCCCGTTGACGGATAGTGTATTTTACCGAACAATGTATTAAACTAATACGTAAACCGTTGCATCAGTGCATTGAATATTCATGATTCTCTTATGACGATGAAACTAAAGTTTAGACCGAAATTTTTCTTATAAAAACAAACCAAAAAATTCATGCGGTGTATAAAAAATATATGATGTAGATTATCTAAATAGCCTACCAAATCGATACAAGTTCACAATTTTGAAAAGTTGTATTCTCACCCATACGTGTGCACAATTGATAGAAATAATAGTAAAATCTGTTAGATAATAAGAATTTCACATTCATGAGTTAATAATAAATTAAAATTATATAAACAAAAAAAATTATAAATTTAAATCATCTAAAATATTTTAAATCAATAAGTCAATTAGACTTAAAATATAATCTCTCTTTAATTTTGAATCAGATCAAATTTTAAATTATAATAAAATTATACATTGTTTAGGATTTTTTTAATTTTTATTGTTAATCTTTATGTAAGCTTTATTTATTAGTATAATTAATTTAATTAATATAATAGACATTTAAAGTAACAATAAACATTCCCATATACTTTACCTTATAAAATTTAAAACTAAAATGCACTTTCGCCTCCTATGTGTGTGTTTTGTTTCTATACTAACAAATTTGAAAAACAACTGTAAAATATATTTTAAATTATGTAATACGCATTTATATAATAAAAAAACAGGGAGGACAAAAGTCAATAATCAAAATTAAAATATGAAACTTATATAATTTTTTAAGGGAACACATTAAATAATTATCCATTGCAGGCAAGGGTAAATGACATGGCCGTCAGCTTCGAATAGTACAGGATAAGAAGTAGTAAAGATTTTTTATTAAATGCTTAAAATTATCATAAAAATTTATGAAATATTTTTTATAATTTTAAGATTAAACATTTTTATTCTGAACTTGTTTAAACCTAGTAAATAATATTATGGAGTCGAACGAGAAGATACTTATTAAATAAATAATGATGCTATGATAGGCCTAAACGAGGTTTAACACTGTTTAAAAAGCTAACAAAGCCCATTGGGCAACGTCTGTCTTTAATTCGCCCCATTGACGCCGAAATACCGTATCAGAACGAAAAGACTGTATTACCCTTTTTCGCCTTTTTGTTTTCAATTTTCGCTCCGCTCCCTCTTGCTCTGACCGGGAAAAGAAAAACCAGCAATTTTTAGGACTCGCTAGATTCTCTCTCTCTCTCTCTCTCTCTCCAATTACAATGGCCTTCGCTTCTTTCCTCGGCAGAGTTCTCTTCGCCTCCGTCTTCATCCTCTCTGCGTACCAAGAGTGAGTTCATATTCGTGACTGATTCTTTTCTTTGCACTTTGATTATGCATGTTGTTTGATTTTTCTTATTCCTGAAAAATGAAATTATATGGTTTGTAAGTGAGCTTTTTTTGTGCTGTCTTGGTTGTTGTGGTAGTTGCTCTGCTTGGATCTGTTACGTTCAAGGCTTGAACTCGTTTGATCAAAACGATTCAGCAGATCCGTGTTTCTGTCGTTTGAGCCTTGAGCATGTTGCGCTTATCACACGGTTCAAGTGCATGGAACTAGAATTTTTTAAATTTTTTTGCGATTTTCTTATACGTCACAGTATTAGATTTATTGTATACTTGCATTCGTTTCCTTGGTATAGTAATTAGATCTTGTTACATGATTTCTTTGTAATTGCTATCACTGTAGTGTAGTTGCGAGCGTTGATGATTGCTGCTGCGGTTGTAGAATCGTTTTAATGCATGCAATCAAATTTGACAATAACTGTTTTGTTAATCTAGCTTTGCACACGGTGTATAGTTTATTAATTTGACTATGTGTTGTTACCAATTAATTAGCAATTAACAAATGGTGTGAGCACCGGAATTGTTGCTGGTCGTCAAGTAACTTGTGTGTTGTGACTTGTGATTCTTAGAGGATATTTATCTTCTTATTTTTATTTTTTTTCTAATGTGTTATTTTGAATCTGGGAATCATCCATGGAAAAAATGTCAATTTTAGTTGATTAATGGAAGATGGATGTTAGTCAAAATTCAATTTTTCATATAAAACTTGTCCTTGGATTTTTCATCCCCATTTCTTTAGTTTAAATGTGATAAAATTAACAAGTCCTTGGTCTTTGTTAGTTAACCCTTGACCTAGAGGAATCACAAATTCAACGAGACATAGATATTGTACAACACAGAATGGGAATATGATAAGTTTTAAGAATCATAGGGCATGGGAATATGAGAAGTTTTAAGAATCATAGGGCACAACATGAGTATAAAATTGACAAAAAATAAAAATCCTTGATGACAAGGGATAATTCACTTTCTAAAATGAGTATAAGTCATTGTTAACCTAATAAAAAAAATGATCAAATTTATCTAATTTTTATGGTATCCAATTAGTATTGGTATAAAAGTTAAAAAAAAAAAAAAAGTAAAAAATTATTAAAAAAATGCAGGTAAAAGTATTCGAAGTATCTGTGTAGTATTCAACATGAACGCATATCTAATGAGCTTTTTCTTGTATCCAGTTGTGGTTTCAGCAGAGAGCAATTGCATATCTTTGTTTCAAGATTAAGGGTTAGATTGAGGGAGACAAATCTGTGATCTTTATTACTCACTTAATTTCTGATTACAGTTACTGCTTACTAGTGAACAATGGCTTTCACATTGAAGTTGAATCATGTGAATATTGTGCTTCCTTTCTTTTCTATGCTTTGCTTTGTTTAATTCCTCATTAAGAGCCTCTTTGGTGGATAGATAGAATCAATTCCTTCCATATGTTCCAATGTAAAATATATCGGCTAAGATTGATCTGGGCATATATCCTAATTATGTTCAGTTGTTCAAAATAAATTCTACCCAACTTTAAATCAACTGGACCCTAAATTGAATAGCTTGCTTCCAATAAGAAACTGATTTAAAGATTTATACGCTATAATGATCTTACTTGATAGTCAGAAATTAGAAGCTAATAATTCTTTTCCATTTGAAATTGTAATTCTGGAAGCAATCAATTGTTAACTATTTTTTTATGGATTTTCTTTATTTCTCCCCTCTCCCTCTTTATACTCATACAGATTTAGTGAATATGGAGTTGACGGTGGACCTGCAGCAAAAGCACTCAGACCAAAGTTTGATGATTTTATGCATCAAGTACATTCTCAATTTGGCTTTCACTTTCCAGAAATTGATGTTAGTCTCTCAGTCTCTTTTCTCCTAGTATCAATAATTACAGGAAAGCATGTTGAAACACCACAAAACTGATAAAAAGAACATTCTTGGGTAGAAACAAAAGAATGAGGGCAAGATTGTTAAATTTAATGAGTGTGTCATGGTGTTGGACACTACTTGTGAATTCATTTATTTTTAAGTGTAGGCTTGAATCTTGATGTCTAATTAATGGTTGATGAAACATATACACATTTAATAATGCTTTTTTGTCTTTGTAACTGGATGGATTTAGATATATCATGTAGTATGGACAAAGTATTAACTGGTGTAGGGCTTCTCGTTTGGGCCTTGAAACGCCTTGAGACCTATTGTTGCTTGACTTCTTGCATGTACCCAGTCTGGGGTTCTCAGCAGGCAATTGATGTGTTTGTGTTGGTCTGTTGGACATGCACTATTAAAGTAAACAGAAAATTGTTTTAAAAAAAATTGTATAACTGTTCTGGAAAATGAAATGGGTGGAGGCAGGAGCTGGGGAAGTTATGAAACATCATTCTGGAAAATAATTGAAATTTTGCATCGTTATAACTGTCATGTATATAGTGCATCCGTATATCAACATGTTCCTACATCCATCCAATCAAGTACTCCTTTTTGCATGCATATTATGTTTTTTTTTGTATCTAGCATTTTATTTATATGATTGTTGTCATGAACAGATAAAATTTTTAGTTGCTGCGGCTGTTGCTCTCAAGGGCATTGGAGGGATTCTTTTCATATTGGGCAGCTCATTTGGAGCTTTCCTTTTGGTTTGTAGCTAATCTCTGGAATTGAAATTGGTTTTTATTCCATTTGTTTATTTTTTAAACTTCAGTTCTTTTCTCCTTGTAGCTTTTGCATCAGATGATTGCTACTCCAATACTGTATGATTTCTACAATTACGACAGTGAGGACAAAGAATTTATTCAACTTTTCATCAAATTTACACAGGTAAGAGCTGAGTTTTTCCTTTTTTTTTTTTTTTTTCAATTTTTATGTTGAAATGCTCAAATTCAAGCTGTCACAATGTTTCTTCGTGTATTATTGCCACTGTTTATCAAATATTATACTCCTTGCAGCATATGGCTCTCTCCGGGGCTTTGTTGTTTTTTATTGGGATGAAAAACTCTATTCCTAGAAGGCAACCCAAGAAGAAGGCTCTCAAAACAAAAACCTATTAGGAGCCGCAATCTAGAGACATTTTTCAAATTCTCTGATTTGTTCCTGGATTCTCATTATACCCGTTCTCCAGGATTTGGCTCGGGTGTCTAATCTGGTTCAGAACAAATGCCCCCTGTATCAGTTTCGTAGGTTTACCATGTCTTATGGATTATATATAATTATTTACGTATGATATCTTTTCTTTTGTTTGACATTAGAAAATAGGAACTATCTTTCGATTACTAGACTTTTCTGCCAAGAGGAAAAAAAATGATCAGAGCCTGTTCATTCAAACTTAGGGTGTCAATTGCGTTCAGACTAACGAACTTGATGAAAAGGTCCTGAAAGTCTGGCATTTGAAGTTGCTATTGAACCGTGCTAGATTTCTGTGTTGGCACATGGATTTGTGCCCCTGTTTTGATTTGTTTGGTTTTGGTTTTCTAATTGGTTTGAGAATGGAAGTGTATATTTGTCTGAATTTTTTATAAACAAAAATAAAAGACCTTCAAATTTTGACAGGGGACGCTAAGTATTTCGAGTCGTTGTATTTATTTCATGCTTCACATAATGAGATCTATTCTCACTTGGATTCTGTCTAGGGAACTAAGTACAATTATCACCAATTGTATGATTTCTTGGTTTGGATTGATTGGAAAATATTAATGGCGGGTTTCAAGGGGACCCGTTGGATAGTAATCCGCGATTTTCTTATTTGCTTGATTAGCCTGATGAAATTACTAGTTGCTTGTGTCTCATTTTCTTCCATCGGCGGGGAAATCATCATTTTAGTCTTCAATGCATGTAGGTTAAGTTAAAAGGGTTTCTGAATTAAGTATAAAGATTTTGTTAGTTAATATCCTAATAGCGTTGGTTGAGAAATTAGTAAGTAAATTCTTTTTTAATTGAAAATTATATTAGAGATGCACTAGAAATTATGGGATGAGCACTGGAATACTTTACAATAAAAAAATATTTTAAATTTGTGATAAGGATACTGTTTAACAATCGTCTATAATTGGCTCACAAAATTTAAATTGAGAAACTGTGGCTCTTGTTTATACATGTGATTCTAATATTAACATCATTTTTTTTAAAGGAATGGTAGCAACACTTTTTAAATTTACATGATTTTTATAATTTTTAATAAATTTGAACTAAAAATTAAGAATATGTTAAACAAAAGTGTATTATAACATTCCTCATTGTCTTAACAGATGTATTGGTACAGCATGTTTGTCGATTTAATTTATACGTCATTTAACGAGGTTCCGGTGGTGTAACGTAATCGGTGTCTAAATTTCCCTTAAATTAGTCAATAATTTTCAATTTTCCTCTATCCTTTATAAAATGTCATATTTATGGATAACATTAACTAGATCAGTAATAGTTAAAAAAAATTCGGTAGTCCATCGTAATAAAAGTCAATTTTTAAAGTTAGAAAATAATTTAGTAAATTATTCTTTTAATTTGAAGTCTGGTTTATGTTTTGTTTTCCAATTTTTTTGTTTTGTTTTGAAATTTTAACTTTTAAAAATGTTTTAAATAAGTCTATTTTAGTTAAAAACATTAATTTTATCAAAAATGTACTATTCATTTTTTTTCTCTTATAACATTTTCAATTTCTTTCTTCTCTCTTTCTTCCCCCTCCCCCCTCTTTTTACCACTCATTCATGTTTTTACGACGCGATTTTGTTCAATTTTAATTTTGACAAATATACAATACTTGAGAAGTTTTTTAGTTGAGTCTTGAAGTAGCGGGGGAAGATAATAATAGAGACACGGATAACAGCATTGAGGCTGTAGGAGAAAGTGATGTCACTGAAACCTTACAACCAGTCATAATTGTATTTTTGTCAGAGTTTATATGAAAAAATATATATTTATTTAAAATATTTTTAAAAGTTAAATAGCTAAAATAAACTTGAAAAGAAAATAGTTTGAGAACTAAAGTAAAATAAAACTAAAAGTTAAAAACTCATTTAGTTTTGAATTGAATCACTTTTTACTCTTAATTTATACGAACATTTTAGATAATAAAAATGCTTTAAGCCTAAAACAACAACTATCAAGTGTTACTTGCACTATTGAAGAGTCATGAACAAAATCATAATTTATTTTAAATAATAGTAACACACTTTTTATATATTTGTTAAACATTATTAATTATTATATAAAATTATTAAAAATAATAAAAATTATGTGAGTTTCATTTCTAATTAAAATGATTTTTTATTATACGTTTAGAATTTTATTAAATTTTAACCAAATTAAAAATATGTTCAAAATAATTCCTAATATTGCTCTATCTAAAATTGATGAACTTGAGCCGTGTAAAATAGGGTTTTTTTTTTTTTAAAGTATTAAATTAGTCATATACATGTTACATGATTCTTAAATGTAATGATTTATGTATACAAGATTCACTTCATATCATAGTCTATGAAGATAGATTTGCAGGTTTTTAAATTATAAGGATTGATCTGAGCATGAGTCAAACATGAAAGGACTAGATTGTATTTTTCTTCCTTTTAAAAAAAATTAATAAAATCGAAAGGAGTCACTACTTACTCAGCGTTTGAATGGATATTTTAGATATTTTTTGAAAGATGCAAATTCAATTTAGAACTGATAAAATAGATTACTTGATCCTTTCAACCCGCTCTTCACAAACAATAACTTAAACCAGCTACAAAGAAAAAAATCTAAATCAAATATAAATTTACAAAAAAATAGTGTATAAATTTAGTAAAATTATTTTTTCCAAACTTTTTGCAAATTAAGCTGACATTGAGTTTAATTAAATCAAATTTAAATCCAAACTCCGATTGAAAAGCCCATTTTGCCAACCCTATTTTTACGGTTCTCACAAAGGATTGTCATTCTTTTACTGTACAAAGCATGTTTCGCTGCATTCTGTAGAAAGTTGATTATACCTACTAATACAAAATTTAATGTTTCAAAAAGTGCAAGTGATTTGAGAGTAACTTATAAAATTATAGAAATTATTATTTTTTATTTAATTATTCATGATACAGGTTTCAGGGGAACTTCCAGTTCGACCCTCCTTGAGCATACAGATTCTGCACGCTTTCTATTAAGTTTTCGGGCTATGTTTTAGCTGAGCGTAACTTCAGCCTTGCTTGTAGCATTTTAATTTATTTAGTAAACGAGTAGTCTGAAGCATGAAAAAAGTGGCACTAATATATGTTCAAAGTATAGTGTTATTTTCAATGTCAAACATGAAAACAAATGACCACCACACATTTCAATCATTAAAAAAAGAAAAGAAAAAACACAACAAACGAAGTCTCAACACACTATATAATGGTAGAAGATTCTGAGTATCATTTCAGAGATTAAGAATGAGTTACACTATCCAATGAGGGGCCACTATGCTTCCAAGAACCAACCAGTTATTGTGAATTCACTGTGCTCTTGGATTGCAGTATTTGAACAAGCGGCCACAAGATATCCAATCTGTGTACATTATTTCTGTTGTTTTGACCCTGTCACACAGTTTGCTCATCAATAACAATCACTTGACAACTGAATTTTGAGTTAATATAAATAATTTCATTCTTGAAAGGAATAATTCGTATAGACTAAAACTTTCAAGGGTCAAATAAAATACATGTTATCACTTTTAGGAGCCAAATTCTAAATCAACTTGCCAAATATAAGAATTTGTCTTCATGACTCCAACTGCACAAATTTCTACTGGCCTCAAAAACATATATTATGCATAATATTTTTAGCTACAGTATCAATTTCCCTTATTTAATCTACAAATAGTGGTAAATTTTTTTGTGATATATTTATTTAAATTATATAGCCAGTTTCCACTTTCCAGCAGTTTTATCTCAGTTCTTCAGTCCTACGGATAAGAAAGCAATGCTAGTAGGTTAACTGCATAAAAACTAAAGCTAAATTTCGAGTTCTAATATTACCTCAACAACAAAGCATATCCATATCTTCTCACCATGAGCTTTTGTTGCACCCTTCAAAATGGTAAGGCCCAGGCTTCTTATGGCTTCTGCTATTTCAAGAAAATGGCTGCACTCTTCACAGAGCATCTACAGCAAAAAGCATAATTAGAATAGAGAACAATTGTAAGACTATCTTGGACCTTCAATCACATGCCCACTAAGCTCCATTTATCAGGAGATTTTCTATTAGCTATTATAATTTTTAATCATTATTATAGTATAAATCAAATGGTTGCAAGTCATACATAACATACCTCAACAAGCATTTGTCCATTCTTGCCCAGATTCTCCACTAATATTGAATGTACTTTCAGATGACCCCCTACCTCCATTGCCCAGCTTGAGCCCTGCTCATAACTAGAGGATCCACGAATGTCTGTTTCCATGTGATGCAACTGCAAAATTGTAGCGTAAAACAGTGGAGTAAAGTCCACATGCAGAAAATGTCACAACTAAATCAAGTTTCTAATGGGTCATTGGCACTCAAAATCTTGCTATCTTAAATAACAATTAGACAAACAAAAGCCTATGGTTCAATTGACGTGTGCCCTGAAGGAACATGTTAAGGAACAGTAAATGCCGTTGTTCTCACCATTATACCAGAGGGAAAAACTGTTTAATTTATAGTAACTTTTATCTTGTATGTATGCATGTCTTAAAGCTCAAGCTCTACTAAATCAGAAATATTGTATTAATTTCTATATAGACCAACAACCACAGAAGAGATTTCTAAAATGCACTCAACCCTTACCTTTGACTTAGTATCAGCAAATTTAGTTAGCTTGTCAGCATGCTTAGTTATGCTTTGGAGAAAGAGCATGTGCTTTATTGCGCGTTCCAGTAGTGAATCAATACTGCACTGTTGAAGTTACAACAAAAATTTTAGCCACATGAACCAGATCTGCAACCATCACTGATCCGAAAAATGGTTAGTACGTTACCTTTGCTCCATTTGGCACCAGCTCTCTCAACTCCTTAATTCGATCTTGGATCAGTTGCCTGTCTCTTGGTCGAGGCCTACAACTTTCCCCAGGCCTAGCCCTCTTCTTGCTGTTTTTAGATGGTTCAGAAGATCTTTCAAATTGTCCACTATTTGAATTAGGAAATGAAGATGAAACACCTTTTGAAGACATCACACCACATATACCCGATGATGAACTCAAACATGGGTGCTTGTCCTCTTTAACAAGAGAAGGCTGATCTATTGAATAGCATTCTGAATTAATAGTATGCACATTGTGGATAGAAGCTTCATGATTCTTTCCAGAGACCATTGCAGATTGTATTGATGTACAAAATGATAATTCACTATTAACATCATTACTATGGCAAATGTTGGCCACCATTGCTTCCAAGAGATGTTCTGGATGAGATTCAGTAGTCAATTGGCTAGTGCTAAGATTGTCTTGCATTTCAACAGTTTTCATATCTTGATTAACCAGCACTGGCCAATCAAAACCTTTACTCCCTTTCAGAAAAGCTGGTCCAAGTGCTTCATGTAACTCACAGCCAGCAGGGAACTTCAATGTGTACGATGTATCCATGTAACAAGGTTCTATCTGAAACTTTGACTTTTCAGTATGCTTTTGGGTGTTTGCATCAGAAGGTTGGGTGGCAAAATTCAACACCTCTTTTTGGCTAATATCCACATGATGCAACTTACCACTTTCAAAAACAACTGCATCAAGAAAAACTGAAGGAAAGCATGCAGAATCAACTGTGATTTTTTCTGGACATATTAAATCATTGGTGCTAGCATTATTCGTTACAGAATTGTTTAAAAATGATGAGATATTTTTTTCCGATTCCAACCTCATATCTTTGCAACCACTACTACCCCCTTCACACTTCATCCCATTTAGAGGTCTCCTCTCTTCAAATTCTTGATGTTCCACATTCATCATATTGGATATAGACTGAAGCAAAATGGAACTTTCATCACTATAAAATTCAGGCCCCTCATGCTTGGTCAAAGTATCAGTCATTTTCTCATAGGCAGAGTGAGGTGCATAGTCCTTCCCAGAACATTGAAGGGGCACCGAAACTTCCACTGTTTCATTCTTCAAGGTTTTCTCTGTAGCATGTAAGCAACCAGGCATAATATCTGAAGGCAAATTTTCCTTCAATTCATCTGGCTGAAAAAAGCAAGAAATATAAACCTTGTGATAATCCTCAACGTATCTGGGTTAAAATAATCACATTCAGTTCTACTTGCTTGCTATGAGTGTGTACAAAAAAGCCATGCTAACAGACACACAAACCCTGACCCAATCAAATTTGCACATCCACGCAGCATCCAGACACAGGCATATTTAGAGAGATGAAGACAAAAGCTTACCTGAGATGAAGAACTCTTCAAACTACTCGGAATTTGACTAGGAACATGGCTTATTGAGTAAGCTTGAGCAGACAAAAAAAGATTTCTGATATGAGTTACAACCTCCATATCTTCAATCACCTGCCACCAGAGATGACAAAAGAGAAACAAATTATTAGATATACTTCAAAAATAAATTGACTTCCGTACATGTTCCTGTCCAGGAAATCTAAAATCCATTGAAGTCATAGAATAGCCCATGATAGGAGAATATAAAACTAAAGGCATTTCAGAGAGAAAGCAATAGTGAATACATCCCTATTCAAAATTTATCAGATCCAGACTAAATAATCAACTTACTAACAGTTCAGGGGGCATTGGGAGGTCAGGGTAATCAAATGCTACACTATTATCCACTAAATCAACACTAAAAAATGCCTTATAATTTAATTTTCAGGCCAAATCATCCAGGTTTGTCTAGTTAGTTTAGAAATTTATAATGTAGTACACTTGTAGCTGGACATAACATAAACACATTCTTCCCAAGTTCTCAATTGACAAAACTAGGAATGAGTTGTTAATAAACTTCTCACCCACTTCTCTTTATGTTCCATACTAAATTACATGTGCATATCTACCTAGAACATAGAATTAGGATTATGGAAGTATATAAACAATACCAGTATCTCAATCAAGTATCAAGAACTAGCAATTACAGAAATTATGCAGATAATAATTAAAGAAATATATGAATAATTTATATATCCAAGCAAAAGAGTAGAAATAAATTTTGAAATCCTGAACATAAAGTCCATTATGCACAGCACAGAGAGATAATAGATGCCTTCTTGAACCACATCATCAACCACCAGTATGGAGCTGAAGCAAATAAAGATAGAAAAGACAAAACTCATCTTACTTTATTTAGAGATCCAAGCTGAACAACGCCAAGTGGGATTACAGCAACAACAACAATCGTCTACAAGTAGAAGCTTTATTAATGATAATTTTTAATGCAAACAAAATACAGATAGTGCAAACTAGGAAATTGTTTTATAAAGGATAATCACTGGTTTTCTAACATTAAGAACATTAGAATGGAATGTGACATTGACATAGTATGGTCACAGTACAGTTTGGTTGCATCTAGTGAATAAGAATAACCATAGTGGCCAAAGGGTTGGTCATATTAAGCTGATTATCATATTAACCACAGGTTCCAAATATACTATCAAAATCAAATTGTCCATTATCCCTAATGTTAATAATCTGAGGCAACTATAATTTCTGGGTGCAAAAAGAAATTCCAATATTCTAGTTTTTTTGGTTAGCAAAAAATGTTGTGAAGTTGTGAAAAAAATAACAAACGTTAGCTTACCCTGATTCCGGCAGAAAACTGAGACTGCCACCCATCAGCAAACTGAAAATCAAACCAAAAAGAGGGGAAAAAATAAGAATGATGGGAAGACTGGTTAGATATTGACATGATACTTGTCCAGTACCAATTAGAGACGTTCAAATTTGCCAAGGTTGAAAGATACTTAGTGATAACATTGCCTAACAAGAATCCTCACCTCGAAAGACAAGCCAGAATCTGTAACCTGATTATCGGCACAGATCCATCTATGCTTTCCAGTAACAGCAACCTGTCCAACAATACTGTAAAGAAAGGATCTTAGCACATGTGATACACAAAAAGAAAATCAAGTTGTAAATAGAACCAACTTTATATTTGATTAATCATACCCTTCACCTAATGAATATGCATGATATGACATCTTAGCCACGGCTAACCCTAATGCACTGTGCGAAAATTTCCCACAACCAATCTGTTCCAATGTCTTATGGCAGGACTTATTTTCTGAAGAGTCGCAATCATCAGGATTGTTATAGTAAGCATCCTCCCATGTCAAGATCCTGCAAGCAAGCATATCCAGACAAAAAAAAAATTAGAGGCAGCATTATGAAATTTAACACACTGCATTAAGTCATCTGTAAACAAAAAACTAATCACGAAAATTGCATGCAAAATTATATCACTAAACAGTAATGTGCTTACTGCCAACTACACACTACAACAACGAACACTACACTTATCCCACCATATCAAATACACTACAATGAAAGCAACAAGCGTTTCATTTCAAATGAAAATAGGATTACAATCTATCAAACAAGGTAACACACAACAGTTTTCCTTAACCCAAAATATACAGCATGTAAGAGCAAACGCATCTCAAAATACTGTGATTGTATAGTTTCTATAAACTAGACACACAGCACATGCCCTTCTAAGTCAAAGAGTTTAAATTCTAACCAAACAGGGAAATCAACAAAATTGGAAGGACAAAGCAGAGGGACGAAAATCACCGAAAATCTCCATACTAAAAGTTGATAATAATAATAATAATAATAATAATAATAACTACAATCAAATCAGAATAATAATAGATAAATACCAGAAAATGCATACAACCAATTAAATTAAGTGAAATGGCCAAGTCAAATTTCAGACCAAACGATTCAAACATGCAAAACTACAACGACGTCCCTCATGTAACATATTCTGAGAAAACTAGGAACAAGACACACCAAAGAAATGAAGCAAATACATCCAACCAATACAAAGCACAAAAAAGGGGCAATAAAAAAACAATAGTACCGTACATTCGAGCACGATGTTTGAGCTTCCAAAAGATGGCGTAGTTCCAGTGAGTATTGAAACAGAGGCTTCTGAGTACTTGGTGCAAGTTGGTATTAGTACCCATCATATTCCCTCTTAAAAAGTAAGAAACTTTTAACACCCCGAAGGCACCCACGAGAAAAAGGGTGGTCAAATCAATCCTCCAAAACACAACAAAACCCCCCACACAAATGAATCAATCACCTTGCCCTAGCTCCCTCTGTAAGACCCTCTTCCAGCCTGCTTCCTCCGCAACCCTGCTCGCCGTTTTAATGGCGGTCCAACTGTTGGCAGTAGTAGACGATCCGCACCCATCACTCACCCCTCTAATTCCCACCACCCAAAGCTTCCAATTTTCCTTCACAATCGTTAAAACAAAACCAAACCCACCACTACACTCACAACTAAAACTTCATCACTGGACTCAACACACCAAATCTTGCAACTATCCATCGATAACCTCGTTAGATTCCAAAAGGGTATGTGTGAAGAAGATTGAGTGAGAATAGAAGGAAAAAAAAAAAAAAGAAAAAGGGTGGCAAATTATCTAGCTTATATCCGACGACATGTGAAAGTGAATTTGCAAACAGAGAAGCGAAACTCAAAAGGGGTCAGTGGAAACGGCAAAAGAGACCTCAAAGTTCTGAGCTTTATGGAGTTTTTTTATTGAACCCAACAAAAAAAAGAAGTTGTGATCTTTAAGCTCTTTGTTTCACTGCTGACCCTTTTGAGAGAGAAGAAGTTTGCAGGTGTTGGCAATTGCAGGGTGAAGAGTGGAGAGTTTAGAGTGAGAGAATGTCAATGGTGGAAAAGAAGAGAGTGTGGTTCTTCTATATTGGCACTCTGTTCCATCAAGCTTTTTCATTGGGTGAATCTGAGCCGTTGAATCATGCAATCATGCGCACCATGGCGTATCAGCACGCAGGCCTCCACAATCACCTTCTATCATATCATGTCACTCTAAGCATAGCATGCATTTTAGCAAACTGCTATACTATAGTGTAAAATTTTTAATTACAAAATAAAATAAATAGAACAACACTTGACCAAGGGCAAAAGCCCCAAAGGGAACTCTATGAAGGGTTAGATGCTAATTTGAGGTTTATATTTAAGATTAATAACCCCTCAAAGGGCAAAGTAAAAAAGGGGGAACAATCCAATTGGGTTATGAGTACACTTTATGGTGGTGTCAATTGATGGCCAACAGCATCATACCAAATTGAGGACATGCTTCCTTATCTTCCCCTCAAGTTTTCAATCCTTTCTTTGAAACAATGGTGAATAGTGATCGTACTCTACTACCCCTCTTAAGGTCCTTTTCAACAATGATCTTATTGCCATAAAGTTGTGACACCTTCAACCTCCCCATTTCTTCATCACTCCAAACCCTTCCTACTTTGTCACATTATAATTAAATCTTTTGGAATGCCAACCTTTGTTTCACACAACGGTGACCATGCTGCCCTTTATGATCATACCTTCCACCGATTTACAATTCCCTTGTTTACCGTTTACAAGGCTTTGGAAACGGAGTTTGGAGAATCCTTTTTTTTTTCCCTCTCACGCAGTTACCTTGGAACATGTTTTAAACTGACACTTATCTGTTTTGGTCCTCAGATACCTATCTGCGTGGCTTTGACTTACTTTTTTTTTTAGAGTAAAATTTTATTTTAGACTTTCACAAAATATGTTATAAACAAGAACCGGTTATTGAACTATCAAGTGAAATTATTCTCTTTCTTACATAAATTTTTCAAAATTAAAATTGGTGGGTGAACCACATTTTTTAAATATATTTTTATTTTTGTTAATTTTATTTTAAATTTTAAAAATAAAACTTATTACTTAACTTTCTCTTATTATTTTAATATTTTTTTTATTTTTTCATAAATATATTTTTATTTATAATTCATAATATTATTTATATTATTTTAAAATAAATTATATTTTAAATTATTCTAATTTTATTAAACTTCTATTATTTTGATATGTAGTATCTGTGATTATAAAGTAAATTAAAATATTTTTAAAAAATAAAATTTTAAATAAATTTATTATGTATTGTATATATATATTTATTTATTTATTTTAAAATTAAATATTTGTGTATTACACATATTATTAACTAATTTTGTCATATATTTTCTAAAAATTATATTAAAACTAATTATAAATTTTAATTAATTAAATATATTAAATATATTTCTTAAATTCTTTTATTTACTTTTTAAAAATAAGCATAAAATGATTGTTTATCAAAATTTAAGCTCAGACAAACATAAAATTAGCATATAAAATTTAAAATCTCTAAGAATTCATTTAACACTTTTTAAAACTTCTAATCTTAGCAATTTAAAAAAAAAATTAAACATATTTTTATTTTGGTCACGCCAACTGAATTTCTTATTTTAATTTCTAGAATTTATTTTACAAATTTTAATTTTTAATTAATTTTAATTTAACAAAAAATTGGCATGTGATATTTTTATAATAAATCATGTTAACCTTAGAAACTAACAATAAAAATTTTAAAAAATAGAGAATAAAACAAAAAATTTACTTAAAATAAAAGAGTTAAAATCATATTTGAGCCAACGAATTATAATCTTAAAATATAACACAATACATTTACCTAAATTAATTAAATTAAAAGGGTATCATTTATTCATAACAAAATTAATTTAATTTAATTTAATTGATTAAGTTAGATACATTATATGACTTTTAAATATTAAATAAAAAATATTGATAAAATCTATTGCTAAAAACAAAATTAAAAAAAATTAAGAGTAAAAAGAGAATTTTACTTTATCCTTTATCTTTATATATTTACAAATACCAATTAACACGAAAAATACTGAAAAAATTTAAAAAGGTGTCAAATCAGAAGTTAGATAACTTTATAAACCTGTATTTTAGAAAGTAAAAAAAGAAGAAGATAACCATAGAAAAATATAATTCTTTGTGTCCTGGCACCACCTTAAGAGGCTTAAAATACGTACATTTGGTTTCACAAGTAGCAAGGCAACGTTACTTCTGGAATTTGTGTTGAGCTACGCATCTTTATAATTAGGTTATTGTATTTTTCTTTTGGGACTGCGAAAGTCATGAAAACAAAAACACAAATGAATTGGGTTAAAACTGAGTAAAAGGAAAGATATATGATTTCACTACTGTCAAACGTTGTTTAGGTGATGTAGAGATTCAATTTGTCGGAAGTAGTCAACAGCAATTTACCTGGTTTCCTTGCAGTATAAGGGGGCATCATCATTCAGATTTGTTTTGTTGCTAATCAGTTATGTTTACAACTATGGAATCAAATATCTCTCTAGGTTTCCTCAATTATCGATCATGGATCATAATTATGAACCATCATCTTTCATCCATAACCCGACCCCAAGAGGACATAGCTCTACTAGTCAAATGCTCTCCATTGCTTTCAAATATTACCATTCCCAAAATCTACAATCAAAATTTTAAGTTTTTCAACCATGTTTATCAGGGTTTAATTTTTACTTGTCTGCACGCACGCACGTTATTTTATTTAGAAAAATATAATTTATTTCTCAAAAGGTTTTATCTGTTCACCCTAAAACATCCTTTATATACATACAAGGTAATTATATAACTCTGTAAACTACAGAAAAAAAAGTGCAAACATGAGCAGAAAAACATTACCATTATTCTTCAGTGGTGGAATGAATAAAAACTCTTTGAGCGGCCATTCCCATTATTATTATTGGCAATAAATTTAATTATAGGGTTATTAAAAGCTCGCACAGCAGCACAGGTAATGGTCATAGAACAAAGTCAACTAGGCTATGCATGAATACGCTAAAGTTAGTGATTCTAATGATATAGTGTAAGGAATGAGTATTATGATGAATGCAGACAAACACAAAACAGCAATGATTTCTCTCTCTCCATTTTTCACTTTAATTTTGATTTTTCTTTCTTTCCTTTTGTTTTCTAGGTAATTGTTCATAAATTTATCAAGTGCAAAAAATTAGTAAATTAATAAATTGTAAAATGAGCGTCATTATCAAGATTGAGTTGTCGAATTTAATCATCGTATGGGCGATAAATTATATTTTGTATACGTTTGATATACGAGTTTATATTTTTATGATATTAATAATTATATAAACAATATTATTATATAAATTGATATTATTCAAGTTATATATTTAAATAATTACGGTTTAATGTTTACTCAATAACTTCAGTTCACTCATTTAAATATGTACGATATCAAACGCCTTCTTCAAATATGAAAACAACAGAAAAATAACATTTTTATAATATTAAAATAATTATTTTCATATTTTTAATATATTTTATTTTTTATTTACCATCATTATAAATATTTTTATACTGTTAACTAATTAGAATATAACGTAGATATAAATTTTATATTAATTATTATAAAAATCAATAATTTTGTTAATATAATAATTTATAAGTAGATCAAAGTATAAAAAAAGTATACTCTTAGTATATTTAAATTAATTAAATTCTTTTAATATTTAAATAAGTTACTTGATATGAAAAATACTCAAAGAAACAAAATAATGTTAAGAAAATTTCGAGGACTGAATCAATAACTTAGTCTTAAAAAAAAAAGTATTAAATTTAAGTTTATTTTTTATACATAGCATACATTTTAAAATTGAATATTATAAACATAATAATCAATCAATAGCATGTATTAAAGTCAAGTATATAATTATATATTAAGTTATTACCTAAAAAATCATTTAGCTTTATGAAAAATGAAATTCAAACGTTGGCATTATATTTTTTTCACAAACCACACTCACACACGCACGAACATTTATTTTTAAATTTTAATAGTTATATAATTAGAAAATCTTTACTATTAATTTGTGACACAAAATTTACTGCAAAATAGTTATTCCATTAGAATATTTCTTGTTCTTTTTAATAAAAATAATTTAACCTCTATTAAAAGCATGAAATGAAATACTATGCATGTCCATAAGAAAGAAAGAAAAAAGAATATAATTTACGATAAATCATTAAGAATTAACCTCATTTTATATTTCCGATTAGTCTTTGGGGGAAATTTCAACTTAAATTAAGTTCTAATTAATCAATTGATGGAAACATATAATTTTAATTAACATTCAATTTATTAGTAGATTAATTGATTTCTTCATTCTTAGAAATCCATGGAGCCTTTCTAGAAGCCTAACATTCAAAGATATTATGCGGTCTAAGGAATCTTAAGCAAAACCCACACCAACAAGAACATATGGTCAAGATTGTGGCATTTGTCGTGCGTTATTTCATGCACTGATTGTTTAATTTCTCTTATTACCCTACAATATCAATTTATGAGAGTGCTCGATTCACGAAAACATTATCAGTAATGACAAATACTTAATCCATTCTTACATGCAAAAAGTGAGTCTTAATTGTACTTTACTTTTCATGTAGTTACATGTTTGTCACTCATGGTCTTTAAATTTTAATTTGTTATTATTTAAAATATTATTTTGCATTTTTAATTTAATTTATTTAATTATTATTATTATTATTATTTTTTCAATCAACATTAAAAATAAAAAGATATATACTATTGATAAGTAAAATAATTTATATTAATTAACCTAATTTTGCATTTTTAAAAATTCAAACTTTTATTTTTTTTTATCTTTTAATTTTGATTCCCAATAAAATAATCTCTTATCAAGTAACTAATATTTTCTTAATTTTTAATTCATATTTTTATATTTTACCTATGCATTAAAAAGTATTCGTGCGATACATCAGTTGCTTACTAGTTGAATTAAGAAAAAGAAAATCCTTTAAATCAAGAGGAATTCAAATATATCCAGAAGAGGGGATTAGTCATTCATAGCAATGAAAACATGAAACAATCCGGTAGATATATAAAATAGACATGCATAATGAATCAATCTGGAGAATCCTTGACGAATGACAATTCCCTTTTTCCCTGAAGTAAAACA